AAGCATACTGAGCATCTTTCTCTTTGACACCATGTCTGATATCCCACGTGATCTGTCAAATACTAATGCATGAAAATCCTAACCTCAAAAAAATCACCCATTATATATGTACATGGTGTGCCGTTATTGGCATTTAACATAGTTTATGGGCTGCCTGATTTGCTGCTGTGCTATTTTGTTGTTTGCTGACACCGCTCGTTGCTTGTCGTATATTGCTTGGTTGATTAATTTTTAGCGCGCAAACAGGGTGTAGCCATTGCGGTAATTAAAGAACACCAACTGGTTTAAAAACGAGCATGTGCTTATATATGCATACATTAGGGTGGGTAAGTCTCCAACGAAACAGTGAATTTTTTTTAACATTCAATTTCCTACAAAATCGATGAAACGAAATATTTTTCAAGTCATGTTGTTAGATGTCACTGACAGTCACATCAACTTAGAAAAAAAAAATTTCGATGATGGGGTTTTGGCGAGAAATTTTCTTACTATTTTTTTTTGCGCTTAACAAAATATATTTTTAATTTGAACTGAATGATATAGGACCATGCGTGAAACCATCGTTTGACACCATTTTGTAGAAAATTCAGTTTCCTATAAAATCTATCAAACGAGATATATTTTGAAGCAGTTGGATGCGAGAAATGAATTTTTCAAACTGATAATAAGAAAAAAAAAATAGAAAACTGTTAGGCGAAGGACTTTCCGGTTACAATTAAGAGCTCATACTTACAGCAATTTTCGTAGAGGCGTTTAAGAATCTATTTTTCAGAGTATCAAGAGAAAAAAACATTCAATTTTTTTAGACACACCCTAATATATAAATATATATGCGGAAAATCACATGTGCTTGCGCAACAACACGAAATAAAAAAGTAATGCAATCGTGCGCGAAAGAAATCTAATTTAAATTAAGTTAAAGAAAAGCTGTAATAATAAAAATATACATATGTATATATGTATATAAATAAGCTCCGCCGAATTCAGATTTTACGTGCATAATATATTTCTGGATAAAATGCATTAAAGCAAAAACACATTTTTGAACCGAACTATTAACATACGTCAGGAAATCCACGGCTGCGCGTTACTAAAAATACTAAACTCAGGTTTATCAGATTCAAATTACTAAACCAATAGCCGGAACTGCTAAATATTGGAATTTTTAAAGCCAAAACTCTTACGGTTGGAGCTCATCTTTCGGTAAAGATTGTGAGCTTATTGAAAATCTGCTTAGATGTCTTATTTATATTTCTGATAATTCATATTGCTAGCTGAAGGATTTAGAAGTGTTCCTACCACTTTTCCTCTTTCCCTTCTCTGTCCATTTTTAATTTTTGCATGATTTCAGTCTGACTGTTTCAGTTCTGTGTGAAAATTTTTGTAATATTAGTGATGACATTCCAACATTCCAATTTTTTAATTGACATACAAGTCCCTACAAACGGAGCCTGATTTTATCTGACAAAATAGTGCAAGAATATTTTTTTCAGCAGTGATTCTTGCTTTTGGATGAATGGGCATTTTAATAAGCAAAATTGTCGAATTTGGAATGATGATAACCCACAGGTCAACGGTGAGATGCCGTTACATACTTAAAAAGTCACAATCCGGTGACTCTATGCTCTATGACCATGGGAATCATTGGAATCTTTTTTAAAACACAACGACAATTTCTTATCTTCTTAATAAAGATATATTCTTAATTATGATATTAAATTATATTCGTTTTATATATATATATATATTTTTGTTTTGAAAACCACTTTTCTTAAAAACTATCCCATCTAGGATGATAGGACCCGTCCAAACTGTTTTGAGCCTTCTGGCCTTCTATATACTTTATTAGATAAGCAACTTACTGTTATATAAGGGATGGGTAAAATTAGAAACCTGTGTTGTAAAACATCCTTTATTGCACAAAATATTTCTTTGTTTATTTAAGTTATCGCTTATTTAACAGCTGTTTTCGATTTACCATTACTAGCGCACTTCTGGTCTCTTGAAAAAAATATAAAAAAATTACATGGAATAGAATTCGTATGTGGATACCTCATATAGAATAGTGAATACATATACGTATGTAGTCACTATCTTCAATGCTACCAAGTTTTTATTTTATTCTTAAAACCTAAGACATTGAATAAATTATAGTAATTTGTAAAAAATAAAAGTAAAAAATTTTTTATAGTACAAAAAATTCTATACTAAGAAGGAATCATAACACTATTTCGCAGGCTCAGAAGACATGTTAGCTCAGTGTTGCATCACAAGTCTGACCTTTTTGTTTGGAGCATCTAGTATAGGTTGTTCGATTCGTATAAACAAATTTCAATTTGTTGCTGTCTAAATTTTATGGCATTCCCAGAAATTCTATTATGTCTTGAATACACATTTCTACACTCACTATTAACAAATGAAGTTTTCAATGACTTTGGAAAGATTATATTGTAGTTAAAATGATGTACTATTCTACTACCATACTTGTACAATGCGACAAAAAGCACCCTGAAATCAATTCCCCGGGTAAATGATATTTCGAAAAATGCATTTGGCTATGTTGGTAGGAAGACTGTCCTTAATTACCTTAATGCTAAATATGAGCGCAATCTGCCATAGAGTATGTTTACAGCAGCTGCTCAACTCGGTACAGCTTTGTGGTGCGTTGCGGTTTTTGCAATGGACAAAAATGTCGAATGTCGATTTGTCTCGTATTTTGTATATATTATGTTACCAAATTTCGTGTGCGGAATAGTTGCGAATGTTGGGAAGCGCACGCCAATGAATGGTACAAAGCCTTCAAATACGATCGAAAGATCGTTGAAGACATGCCTAGTTCTGGACAACCTTCGACCTCTTCAACTAATGCAAATGGAAAAAGAATTGGACATCTCTCGCAGGTCCGTTTGAATGATTTTGGTGGATACTTGGGGTATCAAACGCGTTCTTTCCCGACTCGTCCTAATAAAGCAAAATTTTTTTCAAAAAGAGTACGATTATCAACGAAATCAAAGCCAAAAACGGAATGAATACCATCTATCAACCACCGTATTCACCAAATTTTGCTCCGTGTCATTTTTTTTTCTTTTTTGTTTCCTAAACTGAAATCGCCATCTGTGGAGCCCGTTTTCAGTAGATCGAAGAGTTAAAACTAAAATCACTGAAGGAGCTGAAGATCATTCCAAAAAGTGCTTATGAAAAGGGTTTCGAAAACTGAAAAATTGTTGGCATAAATGTATTACAACTGGTGGGTATTAATTTGAAGGCGACAAAATAAATATTGATGAATAATTAAATATTTTGAGTATTATATTCAATTTCCAGGTAGTCTCTTTATCACTCTTTTAACCATATACTGATTCTTATTTTAATATTTTTTTACTTATTTTTATAATTAGTTCGAAAAGAATTTATAATAAGTCTTTATATATATTTTTTGACACGTTTGGCACGTTTAGCTAAATTGTATCTGCATGCACGAATTATATAATTTCGCTACATACATGCTTTCCAAATCGATCCACTATTTGACCGTAGTAATTGAACACAAGCCATTTGGCATTATGTTATGCTAAAAGCTTAAGCTTCGCCTTTAGTGTCAGCGCACACACATACGAACAGTTGGGCTGCCGTGAAGGGCAGACAAGCGGGCACATGGTAGCACAGACTGTCAATCAAACAGCTACGCGCCATAAATGTCAATAAATTGTATAAAATTATATATAGAGGAATACTGTAATAGTGTGCATAAGTGCGCGCATAAATATTTTCTTTGCATACGATTGACAACACCACAACAACAAAAGCAGTCAATGATATCCATTGCGGAGGCACAACACTCGCTATTCGCTTGGCATACACAAGCTACCACCCTCTCTGGAGGCCGCTAATGCGCATCTGCCAACCTCAACCAAACACTCGTAGCCACTGATTGTCATTATTGAGTGTCTGTGCGTGTTTGTTTGCGCGCTATTATGGCAGCTGCATCAAGTGTTATTTCGCTTTATTGTTGACAGTCGGCCAGCCAATTGTTACACATACGCCCGAGTGTGCCACAACCACCCGCGCCAGTAATTACTTGTACAATAATCGCTTGTCGCGACCGCTTCCACTCACGAGTTGGCTCACTTGCATACGCATATGTAAATTGACACTTACATACGCATGTAACATATGAATAGCACTTGAGGGTGTTTTGGCTTTTGCAAGTGGAATTCAGTCAGTTAGTTACTTGCATTGGTTAGTTGCTGTTGCCATCGGTTGGTGAGCGGCAAACTGGCGTTTCTTCGAACTGAAAGCGTGTGTGGTGGTTGTTGATTCGTTATAGATGCCATTGGTATTGCTGTATGTGTGCGTTGCTTTGACAACACCGAAAAATTTTAGTTTTCAACCAAAACAAAAGTGTGGTGAATTTAGAGAAAGGAAAAGTGTTCAAGTTTTTATTCCTGACTTAAGGAAGTAATGACGTAAAAAATATAATATTGCTTTTTTTTTCAAAATATGGAAACAACCTCGATTCAAATTCAAATTCAGATTCAGTGGAAAAATTAAAAGGGATTACATATTTAAGGAAGCTCTCAGGTAATTACATGAAAGTGATAATGTCAAAATACCATATAGTTAATGGAGATGAGCTGTTACTGCACACGACCTACAAAGTGTGAATTAAAGAAAAGTGCATATGAAAATCCAATAAGTGTAAACCTTCGTTTAGCTGACCTCGCACTGTAGGGGTACTGTAGGGGTGGTCAAGTATGTAATCATGCATGTTATATTCGAACCTTTTCCATACATCAATATTTGAATAGAATTGTTTAGCCTCATTGCACCTAGAGACCAAATATTTATTAATGGATCCGAGTTTATTTTTATTTTTTGGTTGTAAACGCTAAACATAATAAAAGATTTAATTGTTTTTTTTTTTTTGCTTTTGAGATTTTATTTGAAAGATCAACAGTTTTAATCTAAAGAATTAAATTTTTTTAATTTTGTTTTTCTAAAAAAAAATCTCTTTGAAGATTTTCATGTGAAAGAGCAAACATTTTTCATCTGCTAAGTGAGAAAGAATGGCCACACAATTTATTTAATAATATGATCGTTTAAAGATTTTCAAATAAATTCTGTTTAATGTAAGGATGAACTACTAAACAATAAAAAAAAATAATTTCGTTTTAATAAATATTTTTTTTTTTGTTTTCAAACAAGTTTTTTTGTTTTGTAAGAATATTTTTTTACATTATTTCAGCACCGCTCTTCTGCCTGGCGATGCTATTCGTTATTGCGGTGCTGCGGCCGTCAGCGCCTGCCGGCTTCTATTTTCTCATATTCTTGCTGAGCGGTTCCTACTGGGCCACCTATAATTCACTGCGTCGGTGAGTTTGTCTCCCAATTCTTAATATACAAATAAAATAACCCCTTTGTAAATAATTTTTCGTTTCTTCTATATTCAACTAACYAACTTTAGCGGTTTCTCCGTGCTGCTGCGTTTCCTGATGCTGGTGATCGCTTTGCATTCGGTGTGCATAGTGGCCTATCAGACACCTTGGGCGCAATATTACCTGAGCAGCGATAATTTAATAGCGAGGTTTGTAGAATATACAAATTAAAGTACTTAAAAATATAAAAACAATTTCCTGTCCTTACAGATTGATCGGCTTGGAACCGTTGGTCCTCTCCTCATGCGATCGCGACATACGCGTCATGAGCTATAACCTGAAATATAGTTTCGACTCGTTTATTCTTCCCATCCTAATGCTGTTAACATACTTTGTGCTAGCGCTGACCGCCAAGTGCCTGAGCAATCCGAATGTGAGTATCAAATTCTCAAATCTCCTTTTCGTACAAATTCCAAATACACTTTGTTTTCAAATACATACCTACATACATATCTAATACTACGCCTGTCTGGGGTGCTCTGTTTGCATTTTAACCAATTCATGGTTATTGTGTATTAACCAATCGTCGAATGTGCACACAAACAAAATCAACAAATGCATTTCCACAACAAACAAAAACAATAAAAAATTCATRACACTATAAATTACCCCTACATGTTCAAATGGCTTTTGGCATTATTATTTCTCTATTATTTTTATATGAATAAGACTTTGGTAYGTGAACTAATTTGACTAAAACCAAAAAGTGCAAAATGTAACTGAAATATTTTACCTTTCTTTCTTTTAATGCTGCTTTTGCGTCCAAACTAAAATGCTACTGCTGCTGCGCCGTAAAAAATTCAAAAAAAAAAATATTTAAAAAATTTATAAAACGATTTCCTAAAAAACAATAAAATTCGAACGTAACTTTTGAAAACCCTTTTTATTTAAAAAAAAATATATCTATTTTACATGCTTATATATATATATTTTCCTTTGTACCACTGTCCTTCACATCGAATTGTAAAATTGACATATGCACTATTTGTGCACTGTGTTATCTGGCAACCACGCATCCAACACAGGTCACCGCAAAGCCCAAACCCGTCATAGCCCAATTAGAAAATGGCAGTAAATTAGCTCGTCAAATATCACGCATAACAACACATTCATCGCGTGGTAGTAAAAAAGATAGTTGGAAGCGTGCACAGCGTCTGACTGTA